TGCATCCAATGAACAATAATTTAGCTGAACTTGCGAAGGTGGTTTAGACTTGAATCATAATATAATGGTACATTTTATAATAGTACATTTATCATGACTGTATTCTGTCTATACAGAAGTACAGATTAAGACTATCCTTGAGCCACCCCTATCCCCCTATCCCCCACCCCTACCCCCACCCTATCCCCCACCCCTATCCCCCACCCCTATCCCCCTATCCCTTACCCCTATCCCCCACCCCCTATCCCCCACTCCTATCCCCCTATCCCCACTCCTATCCCCCTATCCCCCACTCCTATCCCCCTACCCCCCTACCCCCCACTCCTATCCCTATCCCCCTATCCCCCTTTCTCCCACCCCTATCCCCCTATCCCCCACCCCCTACCCCCCACCCCTATCCCCCCTATCCCCCACCCCCTATCCCCCCTATCCCCCACCCCCTATCCCCCTATCCCCCCTATCCCCCACTCCCTATCCCCCCTATCCCCCACTCCCTATCATCAGTTCATCTACATGTATCAGCAAACTTATTGCCTTCAATCAACCTCAACATTCATGTACTTGGCAAGCGTGATACACATTGCCTACGTATTCAATCCTTTCTGTATTTACACTGTAGAATATCTATGGCCGATGTAATTCATAACATACTGTACCATGGATGTAAACACAGCATATAAAATCAAATCGTTCAGCCAAAAACATGCGGTCACTGATGCAGTAGGAGATACAGACATTTGACATTCAGGGTTTCTGACTTTTGTAAATAGTGATTTTATAAAATGAAACACACTGTGATTGTTTTAATAGTTTGTGCTCACTATTTTATGTGCATAATGTAAACAAACAATATCATGGCTGTATTTGTACAAGCTTGTTTTTCTCAAGGAGAGTATCACTTTATCTAGGCCTTCATGAACGCTAGTTATCAAACGTAGGTGATGCTGATTAGCTGTAACAAACATTGGGCATCTTTTGATTTTATTGTGCATGTATAAGATATCACACATAAAATATATGCCTGCATTAACTTTCTTATCATAATCCATGAATATTTAATGAGCACACCCGGCCTAGTGTAAATAATCAGCAAGGAAGTGTTATCAAAAATATGGATGTAGGGACAATCAGAAGATAGAATTCCTGTTCATCATAGTTGTATAAAGAGCGATATCACTCTCACTTGGAGTTGTTTTAAATTGCATGATAACAGCATATTTCAGGATCACATCAAAATTCACATCCCAGTTCCCTAGGTAGGAATAGTAAAGAAATTGAGCCTTACATCCAGGCAAGTCCCGACTCTTAATCTTACTCTTCACTCGAGCGTGAGTCATGGTTGGGGAGCGACGTTGTAGACTGTCTGAGCAGTTATGTTGTAATTGGCCATGTTATGGGATAGAGAGATAGCTGGAAGTCGTACGCCCTGTTCAGACAACCAAAATTCATCGTACAACAATTTGAAAACTATACATTGAGTGAATAATTTAATTTTTAGTCTGAGCATTGTATGATGAAAATAATATCTTTTTGAAATTTTTGAAAAAAAACTGTAAACAATCAGGGTCGCATTCTCATCTGAACATGATACTGGGCACTGATTGATATGAGCCAGCAGATTTGTTTATTGACCTTTTCAAGGTAGTTTCTTTATGCCTTTACAATGTTTCTTAATACCATATTGTTAATATTCAGCTTGTATGCCCCTTTCGTGTAGTATGGCTCTTTATACAACATTTTTAAAATAGAATAAAAATAAAAGTTTCCTGTAAATTTCTTGAAGTGTGAATAGGGTCATGATGAAAAAGGCTGCTTGCCATCTCTGTTGAACTTTCATGTTACGGTCGTTTTGTCATCTTAATGGATGCTGTGACAGGATAGAATGCAACAGCCAATCCTTTACATCAATGTAAGCTTAGATTACCACGCACATGTAAGATGCACTCACACGACGATGCTACAAACAGAATAGGAAACAAAAATTGTGTATCCTTATTACATATGAATATGTATGAAATACCCTGGTACTATATTACAGTGTACTGTAAAAATCAAATTGCGATATTCATGAGTGGCCCAGATTCACAAAGATTTACAAAGATTCAGCACTAAACTTTTGCAATTTGTGAAAGTTTCTTGCGGTGAAGATGGCCATCCCTGACAATTTGGTAGAGTGTCATGTCATGAAAATACAATTTGTTTTCCCTGTTGGGAGAGAACGACATTGGCTTCTTCACTTTATGTAAAGCTGGGCCTACCTTTAACCTCGGTCACAAATGCCATTACGAACTGCTACGAACGCCGTACGAACGATTTTCAGACAATGGAAATTCGGGAAGACAATAGAAAAACAAGGAGATTTGTACGAAATTATCGTTCGTACGAACCTTTGTGACCGTAGCATTAGCTCAAGATCATGTGTTTGAGCATATATTGGACATATCTGAAAATGTAGATAATTTTGAAGGTTATATATATTTCAAACTAATATGATAACATAATACTATTTCTGTTATCCATCCATATGTTCCGACGCCAGCATGTTCTGATAACTGCATACTTCAATGAGCAACACAGACTTCTACATGTAGCTTGCACAATAATTAATTTTGGATGCAGGGCTAGCACACACCCAACCCATGTAGGCCTAATTACAGATAAGAATAAAAATAAAAATGTCCTGCAACTAGTAGAGTTTCCTAAGGTGACTTGAAATGCACAGCCCCCACCCCTCTTTTCCTTAATCCTGTACATGCTGGTCATACAGCATGTGAGTTATGTGAGGCAGGCAATACTGCAATGCTGGTTGCACATCCGCGATGAGTGACATATTGATTGATGTGCCGCGATTGATTATTCTCTTGGCGTGACCTCATCGCCAAAGGTCAAGATTGTTTATGTCTCGCATTACCTCTGCTATGCGAGGGATGGCAAGCCCGCCATTGAGGAATGATGCGTAAGCCGAGGAAAGATGAGTAATGCATTATCTCTTTAGATGACCCCTCCCTGTGAGTTAGACTTAGAGAACCATCTAGCCAATGACGGATGTTTGTAAAGTAGCAATCTGTTCTACATGTATCCATACTACATGTAGCATGCCAGGCTATTTTTGTACTGGTACATGTGGTTTTCAGCTTATTATCATCTTGAGCTGCTTTAACACGATGAATCTGATTTTGATTATAAGTATTTCTCTCGCCCCACAGTCCGAGGAATATTTGGCGTTGTATTCCATGGGTGAATGTGTGTCGCAACATTGATGCAATTTTAAAATGTAGGCCTACAGCCCTACGGTGAACATGAAAAATATAAAATGCCTTCATGTACACAAGACAAGTTGATAGATTTTGGATGAAAATCATTTTCAATATTATTTAAAATGACATGTGTATCATCATGAAAATGCAAAGAGTGAAAGTCCGCATGAATGAGCAATTTACATTGCACGTTGCTGCATTTCAGAGGAGCTATATTACACACAGTCTATGGAAGTGCATCGGAAAAGCAACCACCGTGCAGATCGTTGAAAAAAATGTTGATTCATTTAGAGTGTGTCAGATCCTGGCACCTGCCAATGTTATAATGATTGTAGACTTAGGAATTGAAAGGTCGCTATTACTCCCATTGCAAGTCTAAAATCAACAATACTTTATTTATGGAAGTTAGGTAGTGAGTCATTTCTCCCTTTCAGGGCAAGCTACTTGTGATGGCGTTGACAAGTTTACAAACTGATACTCGTACATGTGAGTGTGTACTGAATGTATGAGACAGGTTTACTACCTGTTATTGTAATAAAACACTGGTCCTTGATACATTGATGTGTATACAGTATACAGTACTTATTTGAGGGAGGGAGGGAGGGAGGGAGGGAGGGAGGGAGGGGGGAAATACTGTGTTGTATCAAGCACCTCATACAAATGTACATCCAAGTGTTTGTTGTACATTGAATTCTTTTCTATCATTTAAGAACATTTTAGAACTCAACGACCGCATGTTTCAGTCTTTGTAGTTTTTTGTACTACCGGTATAGCCTTTTATTGAAATGTTATGTTTTTTCTTCATTGAATTTTCGTTCCCCTCTTACTGGTTTAAAATTCATTCAATTGTACAGTAGATGGTTATTCCAAGCAAGTCGAGACATTGACATGCAGGATAATTTAGAATAGCAAGTTGGGGTCTACAATGTACTGGAATGGATTCATCAAAGAATTGGGCCTGCTGTCCTACTTTACAAATGAACAGGAGAGAATTGATGCACTTCAAACCTGATAAATGCATGGGAATCTGTACTTTTTCTGTTGCAGTCATTGTTTTTGTATTGTTGTGTACAGAGGATTTGTCCCTGACTCTAGATTCTACATTCAATTAGAATCTGTCACTCTTCATGATATATGTTACATGTATGCTCTCCACTTTAATTGAATGATTACATACTGTAATTTAATTTGATGATCATGCACTGATGTTGTAATTTAATTTTATAATCATGCACTGATGTTCATGTTTTTTTTCTTTAAGCTGTTCCCAATTAGCCCTATAATGCTTGTAGAGCATATATAATCCTTTGCTTAATGAGTACATCATGATGGTTGGAATAATTAAAAAATCATTTCTGTAAACATCCAAAAGGTATTTGAATATGGTTATGGCAAATTAATCATCGCAAACTGAAAAGAGGCTTGCTTAAAGGGAGTGTAGCTTGGCAAATACTGGTTAACGCCATCTACAAATGGACTTGATTAAGGGTAGTCAGCGACTTCACGGTCAGTGCGTGCTAGCATTCGCGAAAAAGACCGAAGTTCCCTTCACGCTTCAGTTTCGCATTGTCTGTAGTCGTAAAATACCCAATTACCCGAGTCAGGTTACGGGAAAGATACCTAGTCTCGTCGGGCTACACCCCTTAAAAATTAATAATGAACATGACAAATAACATAAAGTTAGCTTCAAAGCAGCTCTCAAAACTGAAAAATTATTTTCTATCGTTTTTTTTTCTTCCACAGCTGACGAGCCGACAAGGTCACTAAGCGGTCTTATCCTCAAGAACAATGTCAAGGCTCACTTCCACAACTTCCCCCCAGAGGTCACAGAGTTCATCAAGACGGAATGTCTGGCCAACATCGGCGACCCTTCACCCCTCATCAGGGCGACCATTGGCATCCTCATCACTACCATAGCGACCAGGGGTGATCTCCAGAACTGGCCCACCCTCCTCCCAACGCTGTGCCAACTCCTCGACTCAGAAGACTACAACACTTGTGAGGTATGATAAACTGATCTTATTTTTTGAAGTATCTCCATGAGCCAGCACTTACGATAACGCCCAAGGCTCGTTCAGATGTGTATCAGTAATCTGCGTCGGTTTTTTGTTTAACCCGTAAGTGAATGGCAATTGCGCACAGCAAAGGTCCGACGCGTATTCACTGAGCTCTGTGTGAAAGGAGAAGTGTATTTACAGGCATGTCATTATGAAGAAATGTGACACATCTGAACAACGCTTAACAGGTCTTAAAAGTCTGAGCGGGTTTGCCTCAAAATTTAACTCCGAACCCCCAATTCGTTTTAAAAGAAAATGTGAACAGGAACCTAGTGAACATAGATCACCAATTCTTTTCTCCAAGCTCTCACGAAATACAAGAGGGAAGTGAGGAAACCTGCTATATTCCAAAGTCTTATTTGTCCAAGGATGTTCAAAATGGATTCATTAATGACAAAGATGAAGATGCATGACTTGCAGCGTGTCCACACACAAAACAATTTATCCCAAAACTTGAATCATCATATTAATTCCAAGGTGTCCAAACACACAAGAAAGTAATCCTAAATCATTGTATAGTTGCGCAGTTTGCTACTGCGGTCATGAAATGGAAGTGGAAATGAAAGGTCAGGTCTCCTTTCGTGCAAGGTCACGTTAAGCCCCGCCCAGTTATACCGTTCTAGTTCGACTAGTTATACTTGTTACGTCCACACACAACACATTCTCTGATTAGGCTTGATTCTTTATTGAGTTTTAGTTCGAAATGATGCCCAAACCCCGCGTTTCGTTATACGACGTATCGTTAGTAAGCGTCCACACACACAATTTCATTGTATAACTATCCCGAAACGGTATAACTATCAGGAAACGGAATAACTAATCACCCCTAATCACGGCAAATGTTGTGTGTGGACACCGGGTCTGACAACCAAATTTTTAATATTAAGAGTGTGAGAAAGGGAGTGTGTATATAAATAAGTAAAGGAATTGAAGAACGTATGGGAGAGATATGCAGTCATGGTGTGTATTATATTTAAAAGAGAAGGATAATAATTAAAAGGTGAGAGTTGCACATAGATTCATCAAAATTGCTTTGTACTCTGATGTTCTTTCGTGTACCCGAATATTTCAGTGATTCACTAGCCCCTGGTTGAGGAATTGTGCATTTCTTGAAATGAATCACAAAAAATGCACATTCCTCTCGACTGCAGAGTTGGAGAGAGTTCACTCCTAAATGCTAAAGCTTTTAAGAATTGTTGATATCTACATGTACCTCTTTCTAAACTCCCCAATGGACTTATTGAGTGGTTTGAGTAAGTGATCTGTCTGTGATGGTTCAAATGCTGAAAGTGCTTTTCGGCACACGGCTGGAGGCAATCTACGGCTGATAACGACTGATGGCACTATGAAATCATAATAGATTGTGTGGGATTTGGATATTAGACCTATCGATTATATAATTGAGGTTTGATTCCATGTCATCATTCCGGATTTTATTGATATCTGTAGGTGGGGCGGAAGTCGATGAGCTATTCTGGGCGATGGAATTTATTATTTTAAAAAAAAAATCTAGCTTTTTCCACTACCTGCCTCGAATCCACAATTTACTATACTTAGTTATAGTGTTTTGAAAATTAGAGCCTACTGAAATTGCATGAATTGAAAATATAAAATTTGATAGATGAAAAAAACAAAACAAAACAACCAAACAACAAATAAAAAAGTATTAATTTGTGTTTTCATTACAGATTCTTTGTAAATGCTGCTAGCATATTTTTTAAAAATGTATTAAAAAACAAAATATTTAGGAATAAAGTATCACCTAGTTTTGTTTCGTTCGATACTTCATTTCATCGATAATATAAATTCAGTTACAAGAATTTCACAAGAAAGAGGAAAGTTTTTTCATGCATGCATTTGGAATACTCTGCTTCTCTACTTGCATAAATATTTCGCAGGAAGGCAAGCAGTTCCGTATACATTATTCCAAACTGTCATGAGTACCCTGTAAACTACTCCTTTTTATTTTCTATTATGTCTAGCATTTTATAAAGTGCTCAGGAAGAGTTGTCAAATCAATTTATTTTAGCGATGAATCAAGTTGATGAGAGAATATAAGAATCCTGGATATCAATCACACATATCCCTCCCCTACCTGGCTGATTTCTTCAACTAATGAACCTTCAGCTTGGGGTACGGGAAAATTGAAAGATCATAGATTCTCATCTCAATAATCACATTGCAATGTCTTTAGTTGGAGGATGAAACAAGTGCATTTACACTGCTCTATTTTCATGTTTTGATAGAACAGTGGTAAAAGAAAACTGCTTGAGCAGTGAGTGTCTATTTGTGAAGAGCTTGAAATAGCTCTGGCAAATCTTGGTGAAAAAGGACAAGAAAAGAAGGGGGAAAAATTCTGCTGTAAAGAAAAAAAAGAGAGAAAAAAAAAAAAATATTGTAGTAAATTGAATAGGAAAGAGAAAACCAAACAAGAAAGGACTTCTGCTCAGAAAATATTTACACTGTATACTTTGACACAGGTGCATCCATGTTGGAAATTCAATCAAAGTTGATCAGTGAAGGAGAACAATGATATTGTGATGAGAATTGGAGCGTGCATTTACATGTGTACTTGTTCCAGTCATGTGCACTTTTTCCAGTCATGTGCAAATGCTGGAATGTATGAAAAATGGTTACATGACTTTACAGATCAATCATGCTAGCTCAAATGTTGCTGAAACCCGATTAAAACCTGACGACGGCATCTCCAGTTGGGCCATGACTATCATGAACGGCTTCGTCAAAGATGTCTTTGAGCGAATTGCCGGCAAGGCTTCCCATCTCACTCAGTACAACAAAAATTCAAGAGTTCTGTCTCAGCTGCATTCATCTGTTAGACATTGTTCACTTGTATTTCAAAAATGAAAAAGAAAAAAACGATCTAGAAGAGTTGATGTGTAATCAATGTTTTCTATCCAAGAACAATAATCCCCAATCCTCCCAGGATGATGAAGCCAGCCAGCTCCCCCTCCCGATAATGCCTGCCCGGGCTGTGCAATAAGGAGATGGGAGGCGGTAAATGTCAAAGTTCATTCAGTGCCTGTAGGCTGTGTGTCGAAGGGGGGTTGCAACAACCTAGATGGCACTTCTCCTCCCATGCATTACATTCATTTGCTAGTCAACGATGTGGTATAGCAAATTGGATTGCCCAAAGACACATCCTCTCTCGTAAGCTACATTTTAAAGAGCTTATTACCATAAAGATGTAAATCCATATTTCATGCAGTACATTCCTTTATATCTATTAAAAAAGAGGAGGTATAGAAGAACAAAAATTGAATTTCCCCAAGACACAGCCTGTTCAGCTACATTCTCCATTTGTGCAAGTACATGTAAATCAATAACACACATTTATGGCTATTGGATATTTTAAGCTGGAAGAGGCCCAAAGACGCTGCATTACAAAAGTAAAAACTGCACGCATATAGTGAGAGAGAATAAGAGAGCTCACTTGTATATTTTCATAAGGACGTTACCGGTAATTCACATTTCATGAAAATGTCAGTGAAGAACATTTTATATAAAGTACATTTTGGTTGCTTCTAGTAGAGCTTTCAAATGAGCAAGTCCGACAATATTGTATTTTGGGGGGATTTTGCTGAAGGGTTAATTTATGAACACCCAAATGTGCATCTTCTAGACATGATGCTAAAGCTGTTTGAATGTATTATGAAATGTCAATGTATTATCTGATTGTTATACTCACTTTATGTTTTCTGATTGGTCAAATAAATAATAATAATAATAATAATATCCATATATTGCAAGGTTGTATAAGTACTGCATCCTGAAAAATATTTTTTAATCTCTTCTCCTCATGCAGCTTTACTGCAAGAAATTGTGGGAGAGATAATAAATGTGAAGGCTTCGATAAAAAGGATTCTTCTATTTATGAACACAGTTGTTGATCAAACTAAAATTGATTAAATCTGCTTCAGAAAGTGGAGAATTGAGGAAAGGGCAAGTCCGACACTGTTGAATGTAGGATGTCCTCGTGACGGGTGCATGGAGTGTGAAAAGCAATAAGGTACATCCCTGAGGAAATTCATGTGTGAATTGTGGTTAATAATTTTGTCAAGTAGATAAAGCTCTTCACAGTACATTTACATTTAAGTGGAAATCAGGGAATATGTGCATGATACATGTGTTGGGAGCCCATAAGATTTGATGGCAAAATTTAATTATATTGTATCATACACTGTACATAGTGTGAGAGAGGATGTCATTTAAGACACATTTCTGCAAGGATTTTCAAAACAAATTTCAAATATTGATGAAAGAATACAAAATTCAGGTTTTCTGGTACAACAGAGAACCCAAATTATGTATTCTTTTATCAAAATGTCTTCAAATACATTTTTTGTTGTTGTTGTTGGGGGGAGGGGGGAATCTTTGCAGAAGTGTGCCTTGATTGACATCCTCTTCCACATTATGATACAATTTAAAAGTGAAATTTTGCCATCAATTGGGAGCAAATGTAGGGCTTCCAGCACTTTAAGAAAGGCTTTAACAAAACACAAGGGCTAACATGTACAGGGTATTTCTGGTCGTTGACATTTGTAGCTGTTGAAAAAATTAAATTAAATCTACCGGGGGTAGTCTTTTTCGGCTAAAATTTACATTCAGGGCAAACACAAAAGATTAAAGATGCTTCAGAAAGCGGGAAGATAAGGAGAGGGAAAGTTTGACACTGTTGAATGTAGGATGTTCATACTTGTGGCAGGTATATGGAGTGTGAAAAGCAATAAGGTACATCCCAGAGGGAAATTCAAGTGTGAATTGTGCATTAATAATTTCTGGGAGGGAGTCCTTTTCAAGTAGATGGAGCTTTTCACAGTACAGGAATAGGTGGAAATCATGATAGACATGAATGACACATATACCGTAGCACTTCCCCTTTGAAATTAACATGATTTTTCATCGGGGGTGCTTTTCATCTTGAGTGT